TGACCTTTATAATGGGAGAAAGCAGGCAAGGGCAGGCGGTAGTTTCTATACTTGGGAACAACTTTTCTCCGCTGAACGGAAAGCTATGATGCCGAAGCTTCTGCACATGTACCCATAAGCAATGTATTCCGCTGTGGCATGGGTCTCATGATGCTGTGGAAAGCGATGGCTATGTGCAATCAGCATTGCCTTTCGATGCAGTCACCGCTTTGAATTTGAGGAACAAATGAAAAGTGCAACTTTCTCGCACATGCAAATACGTAAAATGGCACCATATAAGGTATAACAAATACAAGTATCTTACTAGTGTCAGCTGTATGCTGTTTGAAAAAGCTACATGAAAAAAAAAAAAAAAAACGACACTTGGCAGATTCCATTAGCAGTTGGATACATGCAACTTGGCTCGCTGACCATCACTTCATTGCCAAGATAAGTCGTGTGTGAATACACTTGCTCTGTGTGGCATACATCATAACCACTGCTTGCCTTCCCTATTGCATGCAAGAAAGTCTCCCCTTCCATGTGGAAAAGCCAACTGCTTGTGAAGGAGAGCAATACTATTCTGACAAGAGAAAAATTTCATGCGCTGCTCTATTCCAGGCCTATCCATCCAGGCCTGCATCATCCATTACATTTGCTTTATTTTGCACGTTTTTTTTTAAAACAACCTACACGATTACAGTGAAAATAACTGTACATTTGTCAGTTTTACTGCAGTTACATTTCCTGGTGAGAGAGCACTAAAGTGGCACAGGCTTAGCCTGCTGCCGCCACATATTTCCTAAAGAGACCTCATGACCAGGCTTCGATACAAGCTTTGGTTTATAAAGGGAAGCTGCAATGTGTTTCGAGATTATTGCACCAAAAGTATTTTTCAAATGGATTCATTGCTGTGAATTGGCAATGATTCCAGACCGTTCTACACATGGCAGAGTCACGTGACTGCAAGCTCGCTAGTGGTTCGGCAACTTGTGCCATATACACGTGCTGACCAAAATGAGAGGGAGGAAGCACATGCCAGGGCCAGTTAAAACCATACATGAAATTGCATGCATCTTTTTGAAATGAAACTGCACGTTTTAAAGGAGTGGCCACTGCGCCTGGATACCAACAGGAACCAAAACCCTGGGCACCAGTAGCAACAGCTGCTAAACAAATACCTTATTCCAATCCAATTCAAACCTCGTTGACAAGCCACCCCTCTGTGCGGGCAGCTCGCAACAATGGATGAGGACGGGAAGCCCACAAATATGTCTCCAGCATTGTTAGTCCACATGCCCCACGAGTCGTCCGCAGATTCCCTCAAGCCAGTAGTGGAAGTTGACGTGATGGCGAGTCCGCAGGCGAAAAGCGCCATTTGTCGCACCATCGGAATCCACCATTACCAGTCTGACTGAATGCATGTCCCTGCCAAGATCCGCAACAGAAGCTCAAACAGGCGCGGCTGATGTAGATGTGTGTGTGTTATCAGTCCCCATCAAAGCACGGATCCCGGAAGTGGAAAGGACTTCTAGCATTCCATTTTCCCAGTAGCAGGAGCTACATAATTAAATAACAAGATAACTACGGAATTATTCACCCACTTGACAAGTTTGTTTACAATTTCGTCTAAACTTGATGAGGGAACCTCGCATGAAACAATGTGTGCAGTGAACTTTCTAAAAAAGGAAGCGCTAGTGCAGTGAAAATTTGCAAGTGTGATACGACACATGGTAAACCCACAAAGAATTATAGATCAGACAATTATGGCCCCCTGTGTATTTCTCAGATATGTGTTTATATGTACTTTTTCCTATTTGCTATGCAGTATGTAAAGTGCTGAAATTCTTCTGTAGCACTCATATGCATATAAGCTGCATTTACTGCAGCTTTTACCCACAGATTCCTTCACTAATATAACTGCATTGATTAACAATCCAAAACTGCAAGGATTCAATAAGCAGACAGGTGCAGATCAATTCTAACTACCTGGATTGCCTCAACATGAGCTCAGAGCATGGTAAACAACTGCTTTTGCATGTCGCTCTGAACGGTATGTGAAGTAATTGGACCCGCGCAACGTTATAATCAGCAAGCCATCCTAAAGAATTAGTGTGAATTCGAACACCACATTACAAGTAACGCATGCAGCAAATTTTTGCTGGAATACCACATTCAGACAAGGCGACCTTTTCATTCGCACATGCTCAACTTCCGTTGGTGGTAAGAGTGCGAAATGCATGTAAGCCACTGATTTATGTGCATGCAAGGAAGAACTTCCCGAGCACATTCAATCACTGGCTAGGGTTATCTAGCACTACAGTGCATCCACAGGAGGCAATTACATCATGCCTCCTGGGCTTCGAGAGTAGTGCACGTGTGTTATTGTAGCAGACGACTTGTGTGACAAAAAACACACTGCGAATCTCCATGGAGACATGACTGCGTGTTGCTTATTCGGGAAAAGTTACAAAAGATTTGGACCCATAAGCTGTCCCGGTTAAAGCAGTCCTGCATTAAAAAAAGGGGTATGAGCGGATGAAAACATTATTCTCCCAATTTAATGCCTACACACTGTTTAGTGTGCTCAGTGAAGGCGTTGGATAACAAAATGGCATGCACAACTTCAGAACATCGTAAGTGAACATGGCCTCATATATAGGCACTACAGAAATTACAAAAAGTATGTCTGTGTTCAAGCCAGAGACGCAGCGGTGTTGGTAATTCTTACTGCTGTCTGCAATCATGTAGTGAGAGTAAGTATAGCTTATTGCAGATCTCTCAGTGAAATTGGTCCACACCCCCTTGTCCAAGGCAAACTTGCACTTACAAGATTTGAGGAATAGGAGACTAATGGTGCAAAGAAGAATATCAGCTCCATTCGGATACAACTTGAAGGGGTACCGACTTTTTTTTTTTTTTTTTCGGAGGAAAAGTTTCCTCTGCCATACAAATATCCTATTTGGCTAGACAGCTCTGGGCAAGTGTGCAGCTTAGCACATTCTGATAACATGTTTTATTTTGATATTGAAGTAAATTTTTCCATGGCACACCTACCAGAATCGACACTAGCTTGACATCAAGACAACAGCACTAATTCTGGTGACTTCACTCGTCAGTCTGGCTCCTTGAATTGATGTTGGGAATCAAAACTTCCAAGATGGCCGCTTGTGCATCGCCAACGGAGCCACGGTGTGAAGCAGCCGTGGCAACGTCACTGTGTATTGTGTGAGCATGTCGCAAGAGGCTCAGACTAGTTTCTAATGCCATATTCAAATTACTGTTACAAGACGCACTTGCTTTTAGCACTATCTTTCTTACGCTCATGAGGGCTAGGCCTTTCGTTTGACAAAAGAAAAAAAAGCACTAAACATTTTCCTGTCAGTAAGGAGGACGAGGAATAAATGAGGAAGGACAGGGAGGTTATCCTGTCAGTAACCCTTCAATGCAGGTGAAGGTCCACCCAGATGACTGAAGTTCAGCAGTTGATTGCCACCCCAACTAAATAGTTGTGTTCGCGCATTCCGTCATGTTCTCCAAAGATAGCATCACTTGACTGTGTGGCATATGCCATCAGCCTGAAGTGCAAACTGGATGATGCAAGGCCTGCGTGTCCGCCTTCTAAAACCGTACCGGACTATAGTGTGGTGTACCTTGGCCTTCGTTCGTTGGCCTATACAGCCGCCTCACATATGTTGTCCTGATGAGTAGCAAGCGAAGTCTATATATTCAAGGTAATGGGTGGTGTGGTGCACATCGAGTAGTCATGCACTGCAGCAAAGTAATATCAATAGTGGCGCAAGATGGAGACACTGCTCCGACTCCCGTGATTGTGGTTAGATCACCCTTGACGTAGCAAGTTGCGATCACGAAATGTCAAGAGTCGCATACAAGCGTGAGAACTGCTGTAAACAGTGGCAGTACTATCACGAATAGTTGGTAACAACCATAATAGTTTGTACTAACCGTAAGCCAGTTTGATATGTCCACCACTTACAAGATCGGATAAATGAAGTTTTTCAGGAATATGTCTCTAACGTTGAAGCAAAAAACAGATATAGGAATAAACTTGTGCAGTATTGTCCTAAAAAGCCAAACAGGTTACAAATTATTATCAAATAATGTACGCATCTGGTCTTATCTGCGAACTACAAAAAGCTTGCTAATTGTATTCCACGTTGTGGTGCTGAGTGTCTTAACACATCTAAATGTAGTCTTTGAAAAACTCAAAGGGGTCTGTAAAACGCACCGTTTTGAGGCTGGCATACTTCCACCATATCGCTAGGGCAAATGTATGTATAGCGAGGAAAAAACAAAACAAAATAATTTTGTAGGTATTGCAACATAAGCGTACTGTCAAATCCGTGTTTTTAAGGAGAAAGGCATGCAGGCAATCGAGTGGTCTTAAAGGGGCACTGACACAAATTTCATGGCAGAGATAGCCTGTGGGGTCAATTCCCAAGAACATCTACAAAATGTCAACAGTGAATATAGCTGGAAAAGTATTTTAAAAGAATTTTGAAGTTTGCGTGAGCCTTCCCTCACGTCACCGCGCTGCAGCCAACAAAAATTATGATAACCCCATAGCTGCCATTTATTTTTTTTTGCTGCGTTTGTTCCCGTAGTCTAAATTTTGTGGCAACAGGTTGCGAGTGCGTGGCCATGGCACACGCTTAGAAATATTTGTGTTTGGTGACACTGCAGTCCCATTTCCTATTCGAAGGTAATTCATGATGTGGACCGTGCGGAAGTTTGTCACAGTTCTGCTGTGGTGACGTGGCAACGATCTGCACGCGCTAGGTGGCAACAGTTTCACCCAGTTTTTGGAGCTCTCTCAAACCGAAATTGATCGATAATGAGGGGCCTGTAGTTAATCATCTGTCGCATGTTGCAGCAAACGATGTGTCGTGTCATGACTAAGAGGCCCCCAGCAACACATTGCAGCGGAAAAACTGCGAGGCCAAAGTTTTTGTGTCAGTACCGCCTTTAAAGGCACCTCCAGCTGTGAAATGACAACTTACTCGTATTGTGTTCTTTAATGTCTCCGCTTCTTGACGTAGACTCTCCACTTCATTCATTTTGCTAGCTGAGGCTCCTCAACCTGCAAAACAGACATCACATCAATTGCATTCGAGAAAATGCCAAACCGAAAAGAATGATTGCACATGTCAGCCGTAATTCCCCCGAGTGCACGGAAAGAATTGCCAGCGCACCCAAACGAATCAGCAGGCTAGTTTCATCTAGCACTACGGTACATCCTCGAGAGGAATTGGTCACACTCGGGTTGTCAATAGTAGTGCGCAATACCTGCAAGTATAAAAATAATGACTAGCAGTTAAAAAGTTCGTGCAAAAGCAAGAAAACTATCCGGCCACTTGTGGGCCAAGGCAAGCGATTCCGTACATGGTCGAGAACAAGATTATCGCAACTTGCGACACATCTTCTAAGCTTTGCAGCAACACAAGGCACATTTCCAGACATACAGTTTAGTATCTGATTTCATCGTTTAGTTCCCTGATGTGCACAGCTTCAACAAGCACGATAATCTTGAAGTATAGCCCTAACGCGTTCCCGATAACAAATTAGCATTATAAGCAGGTTGACGTTCGGCAAAAGCACCAGAAAAGAAGTCCGCAGCCCACATACGAGTTGCAATACACTCCCGGCGGAAACAAGTTTGCACGCCCCACACGCAACGCCTTCGCAGTTCCAATGAGCCGGAACAGGCGCACGGAGAAGGGGTTGGGTCACTCAAGAGGAGGCTCGAGCACCACTGCTGCGTTGCCCCCGGATGTGTTGTGCGCCGAGCTCGCCTAGTTCGCCACTGCACATACCTTTGTAGGTTAGCTTCAATCCGCAAGTTGTCACTAGCGCGATAGTTAGGCCTAGAACTACTAGTTGAAACTGCAATCGCTCAAGGCGGAGTGCGTGCTACACCCGTGCAAAGTGAAAAAAGGTCAATCACCAGCACTTGCGAACCAAACTATGTACTACCCTAGCCGCGGATGGGTCATATAGCGAACAAATGCGCGAACGAAATACAAGCCGCCAATGGGCACCGGTCCAGTTTAGGGTTATCGTGATCACCGCATCGGGAGGTTTCCGAATCTATCGACCACGTACTGATCGCACGAGCTGTTAAAGCGGCCATGCAAAGACGCACAGCGTCAGCGAGCGCGAGCGGGCGTAACCCCTCGCAAGGCGGGACGCCACGTTGTTTTTGCAAACAAGCCAAGTATGTCACACCACTTCGAGCACATCGTGCGGCGGGGTGTGCACCCACTTCCGTGAGCAGAGTCGACACAGCGATGCTACGGCCCAAAGCAAATGTCCAGGATGAAGCACAGCCACTAGCACGACGTTTGCGATCGCAACGTCCAGCAGATTGGTCACTGATGAGCGAAACTTGAGCTCATCGGAACATAATATCCGCCATTTTACGGCGCTGGGAGGAGCAACGCTAGCCCTAACTCAAGAATAATTGTCAATGTTTCCGCTGAACTGGCGCCTCGAAAGTATTTTCGAAAGCCCAAGCGAACGCACGCAATGCCCGATCCGTGCGGCACAGCCGGAGACTTGGCACGGAATAAAGCGAAACATGAAGGAACCATACCTTCCGAGAGTTACTTCCCTCTAATAATAGGCCTAACGCTGAAACAATTCGCCGGGTGTCCCAGGCTTGCCGTGGGGCGAATGGTGTCCCAGCGTGCCGTCACAGCAGTTCGTTGAGCAGCATGGAAGAATGTCCGACTACGTATGTCCAACAAACCTCACAAACCACACTTCAGCATCTACCGCACTTCGATATCCGGGCGAGTGCACGAGAAAACCTCGAGCGTGTTCGTAAATTTTTTTTCCCGACCGCTTTGAGCAGGGTGCGGCTCCCGTGCACAAACCGGCTAAGACCCCGTACTGAATTTAATAGCGAGCCGCTCGGCGCATGCGTCGAATGCAATCCCACAGCGGCTGCGCGGAGGACTACGCACTACCGGAAATGACGCACGGATATTACTTGTTCCGGGGAAGCCTTCGGTCCAGGGGCGGGTGACGGCATTTCGCTTTTGCTTGTTTTGTTGCCTCCGGTATTTCGCGCGGTTCTTTTGCTAAATCTCGAGATATCAACTGCGAGGGCACGCCTATTACAACATAATAAATGCTGTAGCCAGTGGATTTTTTAACCTATTTGCGGAAGCTACGCGGTCACTGCACACGCACTTAGGTCAGCTTGTTCTCAGCTTTAAAAATACCAGTGAGCCAGTGCATGCAATGATAATATGCTTTATACTTATAGACTAAATGTGATAGGTCGACTCGATCACTGAGCAAAAATGTAAACCCCTCAATCGTGACGCCCATATCAGAAACAGTGCTGAAGTTGTTTCACTGCATTACATTGTGTATATGTGGCAAAGCCCACCTTTAAAATTGCAGGATTGGTGCTCCGCGAGTGCGCACTCGCAGATTGCAAGTGTAATTTTTCCAATATCTGTCCGTTAGTTTTCGTTAGCATTAAGATACGGACGGTTGGTAATGGTGAAATGTTACGACATGCTTAAAACATGTTAATGCTCTTTTAATTTCTTCCCTTGCAACCTGTAGAGACGAAATATCTATGTTTGATTCAAATTGTGAATTAAGATCACTTGCCTAGTACAACGTGCATCTGTCAAATAAGAACACTAAACCAGAAAAAAAAAGAGCAAAAGGAAAAGGTTAACTTTCTATCACCAAAATTTAGAACACTTCCTGTCACCTATGGCATGCTACCCAAACTAGCTACCGATTGTTGCCAACGCCATCGGGAGAGGCCCCTGCTATCGCGTCAGCCGCGACGCGTTGCGGCCTTAATCGTAAATAGCACAGCCGGCTTTTTTCCTCCACATGTGCGCAGCCAACTGCGTCTGCTACGCGCCTTGTTTCGCTACTTTCGCTCTGACCTTGCTGCTCGATGTTGCTCGACGGAAACCGTCAGACGGCACTTGATAAAACGCTTCAAGTGGAGCCACATTCGAACAGCTGTTGAGTGCTATGCGGCCGGAAGTGCCCGTGCGATTGCTGCTTTTCGCCAAGGCCCGAGAACTGGCCGGCGCCTCGGAGGCTTCGCTCGTCGTGCCAGCCGTGCTTCGAGACGTCGAGGAGCTAAAAGCGGTCATCTTCGACGCCTTTCCTAAGCTCGCGGCTCTGCAACGGAGTGCCGTGATCGCCGTGAACGAGTCTTACGTCGATTCGGGAGTCGAGGTGACGCTCAGACAAGGAGACGAGGTCGCATTCATACCTCCTATCAGCGGCGGCTGATCACGGGGGCGCGTGCGGTGCGTACCCATTCGTTCCCGCCACCACCCGTTCCTCCCCGCCTGCTTCGGACATGGATTACGTAGAACTGTCGGCCGGCAAGCTCGACGTCGACTCGGTGTTGGCCAAGGTCGGATCGCCGGACTGTGGTGCCATTTCGCTTTTCCTCGGCACGACGCGAAACCATTTCGAGGGAAAGCGCGTTTGCAAGCTGAGCTACGAGGCGTACTCTCCGATGGCGAAGCGCGAGATGTTCCGCATCTGTGGCTCTGTGCGGCGACAATGGCGCGTCAAGAATGTCGCGCTCGTTCACAGGCTTGGCGACGTGCCTGTGGGCGAGGCGAGCGTTGTTATCGCCATCTCCTCCGAACACAGGCAGGAGGCTCAAGAGGCTGTGAAATACGCCATCGACGAGGTCAAACGACGCGTGCCCGTGTGGAAGAAAGAACACTACGACGATGGTGACCAGGAGTGGAAGGAGAATAAGGAGTGCTTCTGGATCGCGCGTCGGTGACGCAGCGTTTTTTTTTTTCTTTCTTATGGGAAACAAGAACAGAGAAGGACAGCGAGGCCCGCGCACTGCTGCACCGATCGCGATTTGTTCAAATGTTTTGAACGTTTTGTCGTCTTTTTGAATGATGTTTTAATATATAATCATTTTATCCTGTTTCAGCTAGCTGCTATTGACGTTGAACTAAGACGCGAGCAACCACAAGTTGTAGGATGGGGAATATTTCTAGATTGCGCGACGTTCATGCGGCGATTTTCCCGATCGGATGGACTGCAGTGCCCTTGCAGTGTTGCATCGTTCGCGAGTTGTTGAAGCGTGTTGGCACGTTTTTTTGTTTTTCGTCTTTGAAAATAATGCATTTACTCTATGGTCATCTCAGCCCTTTTCAGCTATGTTCCATTGGTGTTGACAATAAATTTATTAATGTGTCGTCAATGAAACGTATCTCGATGTGTGGCTGTTAATGCATCCAGCAGGCATGACACGTGCATAAATTGTATTGGAAGCCACCGTGGACTTTCGTTCTTGCCTAAAACATACTAAATGCAACCAGTGGATTTTCCAACATTAAGAATGTCGAACAGCGATGACCTATCATACTTTTTTTTTCCCTTCCTTCATAAAACGTGCGCTTAGCATGTGCGATTTGGTCGTCTTGTTGTCTTCGGTAGCTCTGTTCCTGCTGACTAAGCGTTCAGAATTCACAGCAAAGTTATCTAGTCAAGTTATCCAGATTTGTTTTAATTGATCTGTCATGCGACTCGGGCAGCCTCTTTTTTTTTTCGCCTTCCTTTGTTTCAAATAAAACTCAAGAGAAAAAAGTTACACATGGAACGTGCATATAATCCGAATTTATTGAGGTTTCGAATGACAAGTGTACATACAGAGAGAGCGCTTCGCTTGCTGACAGCTCCGGCACACTTGCAAGACATCTGTTCTCATTCCTTGCCGAGCGTATATATACGCAATAAGATAACGTTGATAACAACCACTATCGCGACGCGTCGCACTAGAGACGGCGACAGCTGCGGTTTTGCCCCCAAGTGGGCCACCAGGCTGTATCTAGTCTGCGCAGTCAGATTAGATACTCGGCACACCCCCAGTTCTTGTCACTACGCACAAGAGCGTGCGTCTTCTAAATGAATCCTCCCAAGGAAAAAGCTGGAAATGCTGCGGCAACATCCGAATAAAATCCAACGTTTGACCGTAAACGCCGACCAGTTATACGCAATTGTGAGACGTGCGATGCCACTCAAGGCTTGAACGAACGCTAAAATTAAGAAGTTTAGATGGATAAGTTGTGCTCCGAGAACTCCAATGTCAATTTCACCATCGTAGCTTTATTAACGCAAAAGAACAATCAAGGCACAGGATTCATTTTTAAATTTCGCGCCAAGTCACCGCGCGTGACATCACGGATTTCAGAGTATTTCTCGTATCTGGGGGACATTGGCTCGACGCAACCTCCTGAAACTTGGCAAGATAAGTCTACGGCTCCCTCAAAGGACAATGTACTTGATTTCTACTGATTAGATTAGGACCTAGCAGGTACCGTTAAAATCTATGACGTCACAGCTTGTAGTGCGGAAATTTAGAGATGGCGTCACCACCAGTGTTTTCCATTGCACGTTTTCTCGCTTCCCAAGCGTCTTTTCATGGCTAGCGTGATAATTTCGGAATTGTGAAAGAGTATTTACTAATCTGACAAAAATCGTTCTGCTATTTAGTGCGCCTTCAAAGGGCATGAACAGATGTTACCCGACACATTTCGTAAACGTTCAGCCTAAATGGCGGGAATTCGAAGAAGGAAAAAAAAAATACCGATTTCAGGAAGAAACTTCATAGCTGGAAAAACTTGGTTCGGAGAAACTGGAGAAACTCAACTTCGCAGCGCTGCCTTTTCTTTATCTAGTATGTTCCAACTCCCCCCACCCCCACCCCCCACGAGCTCTTCTGGAGAAAAAAAGTGACCTTAATTTTCTCCAGGTATAACAAACGTATGTTCACTAAATGAACATACATATAGCTTTCAAATAACCACTGGCCAGGCAATTTCATTTAATACTCCTCTGCAGTGTCCCATTAACACCGCAGGCAGCCAACATTATTACAGAGAAAGCCCTACGGTGCCCTTCTAATCCAAATATTGGTTCGGGACAAAGATAACACTATTGAATGAATGAATGAACCTAAAAGATCTTGCCTCACACCCACAAGGGGGATTGATCACACTGTTCGTACAATGCATGGAACTCTATGGACTGAACGCACCAAACTAGATTGTCTCATCCGCAAGGCGCACAAACGCGCAATCGGATTACCGGCCAATACCAGCACGGAAAAGTTTCTCGAGCTGGGGTTGCACAATACTCTAGATGAGATAATCGAAGCACACAACATCGCCCAGTACGAACGTCTGGCGAAGACCAGAACTGGTCGACACATCCTCGAGACACTGGGTATCAACTACCATACGCAGCGCGGCGAAAAGGTCGGGATACCCAGACGTATTCGCGAGCGCATCGTCGTTCTGCCGTTGCCTAAGAACATGCACCCGACACACCACATCGGTCGGCGCAACAGGTGCGCCCAAGACCTTGAAAAGAAATTCGGCAATAGCAAAGACACAGTTTACGTGGACGCGGCCCGTTACGACTGCCACCGCGGCTTCGCGGTCGCGATCACGGATCATGTAGGAACTTGCGTCACGAGTGCGACGATAGGCACGGAAGAGACGGAGGCGGCCGAAGAAGCTGCCATAGCCCTCGCGATAGCCACCACGGACGCCGAGGTGATAATAGGCGACTCGCAGGCGGCGATACGCAACTATGCCAGCGGCCGGATCTCCCGCGAAGCGGCCCGCATTCTCCAAATTCACGAACGCAACATCTGCCACAAAAACGACAGTTTCCTCGTATGGACCCCCGCCCACACGGACCCTCCGCTTGCGGGCAACGCGACTGCCCACGCCGCGGCTCGAGGACTTGCACGCCGAGCTGCGACGCCTGCCGACAGTCCCGATGTCTCGCACACTTCGACAGCGATGCGGGAATGGACGTGGGGGGATCGCATGACCACTTTCAGAGACATCACGCAACACTACAGACTGAACAGATGCAAATATCCACCACCCCACGCCAAACTAAACAAGAAACAGCAGGTTGCCTGGAGACAACTACAGACACACACGTACCCGAATCCGGTGATCCTTCGCCTCTGCTACCCAGGCATTTATACGTCGACGCGTGTAAGGCGTGCGGAGCCAGAGCGACGCTGCAGCACATGATGTGGAAGTGTACCGGTAACGCGCAGCAGTCCCCTACGAACCCGGTAGACATGGCAGTCTCGAACCGCGAGGCGCGATGGGAGGCGGCTCTGCTCAGCCACGACCTTGCCGATCAACTGTGGGCCGTCCGGCAAGCCCAGGATGCCGCCCGGGTCCAAGGACTCGAGGCCGTCACCTAGGCCGGGGTGCTTGTAGCCCCACCCCGCTCAATGACGCCGGACATGTTCAATAAAGTTTTTACTCACTCACTCACTCAGGAAGAGACTTCATAGCTGGAAAAACTTGGTTCGGAGAAACTGGAGAAACTCAACTTCCCAGCGCTGCCTTTTCTTTATCTAGTATGTTCCAACTCCCCCCCCCCCCCCCCCACGAGCTCTTCTGGAGAAAAAAAGTGACCTTAATTTTCTCCAGGTATAACAAACGTATGTTCACTAAATGAACATACATATAGCTTTCAAATAACCACTGGCCAGGCAATTTCATTTAATACTCCTCTGCAGGGTCCCATTAACACCGCAGGCAGCCAACATTATTACAGAGAAAGCCCTACGGTGCCCTTCTAATCCAAATATTGGTTCGGGACAAAGATAACACCATTGAATGAATGAATGAACCTAAAAGGATCTTGCCTCACACCCACAAGGGGGATTGATCACACTGTTCGTACAATGCATGGAACTCTATGGTATAAAAAAAACTTGAACTGATCATTTTGCTTGTGTGTTTGTTGCCTGTCAACTCTGGCACACACTCACTCTGGGGTATTGGCCAAGAAAGCTAGTAGTAGCCTGTATATGAAAACTACACAATGATTGTATCTTATACTAAATTTACAATGAAAGAAAAAAAAGCAAATTGCAAATTACAAGTACGACCTCATCTCCATCTTTACTTCTTTGTCCCCACTTCTGTTTCAGTGATACGTAGATACAGTGACATAGCGCAATCCCATTCCATGCCCGTGGCAATAAACCATGATCAATATTTATGGGTTGACTTCTGGGAAACAAAACGAACGCTAGCATAGTGAGAACTGCACAAATTAAACACTCAGATCACACGAAGAAATCCTAAACGGTGTAGCACAATTGTGAACAAAGAACTCAGGTGCCAGCTCTCGGATTTCATAAGTCCGGCTTTGAGAGCAAAGTCGATGTTGCGGGAGACAGCTGACCTGCAACAGGACACGTCCTTTCTATGCGGCCCCACTAAACCAGGCTGTGGGAAACCAGAACGAAACTACGGCATCGTCTATTATTAACCACGGCGCGAAATAGCCGGATGCGGAGCCGCGACTTTTGAAGCATATTTGTGTCGTTGCGATACTTGCGGAAACCTCAGCGGACCCATTTTGATCTCGCTTCACAGAGGGTTCATTGGTCATTGCGCATGTCCGCGCGGCAGTTCATTCACCTTTTGTCCTATAGCTTCGATTGTATTGTGTCAGGGCTCTTTCGTTTTTTTGTATATATATTTATTTACAGCGTACGGGTAGCGAGCAGCAATCACCTACGAATCGGGTAGAAAAGGTATCCTCGAACCGTGAGGCGCGCTGGGAGGCGGCTCTGCTCAGCCACGACCTCACCGATAAACTGTGGACCGTCCGGCAAGCCACCCGTGTCCAAGGACTCGAGGCCGTCACCGTTGTTGTTGTTGTTGTTGTTGTTGTTGTTGTTGTTGTTGTTGTTGTTGTTGTTGTTGTTGTTGTTGTTGTATAAGCATCATGTGCCCCACATAATGGAAGCACACAGGCGCACAACTCATACGTGAATTCGTTTAGCTTAAGGTCCATGAATCAATTGATGGTTGTAGCTATACACCGCTCATCTCTGCACAACCTCGCTTGTGTAGGTTGCACTGTCCTCAGAAGTCATGTGTCGTCATTAACACAATATAAACCGATCTTAGTAAAGAAATCGCTGTCATTCACCAATATAACAAGCTTAATTAAATAGCCTCGTCAAATTAAGAGATCGAATCAATAAATTCGTTTTTCGCGTTTTTTTCGTACATAATTAGATGGTCAGGTGTGAACCAAAATCTCTAAAAACATCCTTCGAATTTCGTTTATTCTCCTTCTGGAATTTTCTTTCCGCCGGGAGATGACCTTTGTCTTCATAACACAAACAACCACACCTGAGACGTGCCCTTCAATTGTG